CAACAAAAACCAAGAACTCGGTGTGATCTCAGATGCTAAAGATCATGGATGAGTGTCATTCGAGGATGTTACAATCGACGAAAAGAGAATGGGAGTGTGGATACATGCCCGAAGTCATCTGTGAAACTCATTTTACATAATAGTCAGCCAACTCATGATTGCGTCTGTAAAACTTTCGAAACGTTGACTTCAATTTTGCCACATGGAATCCTTTGATTCAATAGCTGCCTTGTAACAGGAAAATCATCAAAGACAATGCAAGCTCTTAAATATCGTATCAATCGTTAAATTTTGTAGGAAAAACTCGATAAAAATCTTCTTGTTTCACTTCTTCAAACATATATATGCCTCAACTTGAAACACTAATGGAATTATAAATAAGTCTTATGACCATAATTGAACTCATCCTATGACGATATTTGTTACATAAGATTTTTTTAAAAACACGGTATTACAAACGTCTGCATCATCAAATCATCGTAAATATTCAGATAACAATGTTAAGTGTGGTTTGATGACACATGGAAAACGTATAAATGCTTCACTATGTTTTCATAAAATTATGACATATACTTTTATCTTATTTCAGCGAAGATCGTGGTGCACAGATTTTTATTTCTTACAATGAATAGAAGGAGATGTGATGTTTATGCAAGGAGACAGCAACAATACGACATACTATAAAAAAAAAAAAAAGTGTCTTTCAAAATACCTGTATTTCAAACTGTAAAACTCCCGAATCGAAAAATTTGTTAATAAAACAATCAAGAGAGAAAAAAGAGTAAATCTGATATGATTGCCAGTGAGTGAAACAATAATGAGAAAAACCCATAGCGGATAGTAAGCTATGAAAAATCCTCGGACAATAAAATGTAAATATAAGCTATAATTAATATGCTAAAAACAATTATTGAAGAATACAATCAATGACAACCAATTGATTGCAGACTTTTGGCTTTAGAGAAGCACATATAGTATGTGGTGGGGTTAAACATGCCAAAAAAAAAAAGATCAACCTTTCCAGCCTTCGACAGTGGTATAGCAGTGCACCATCAGAACAGAATTTAAAAATCAGTTCAAAAGGACTTGACTCATCAGCACAAAAAACCAACATTCAAAATTGAAAAAATGAAAAAATGAAACAAAGTGCCGAGTACTTGTTGTAAATGAAAACTACTTTAAAGCCCAATTTCAAACTATAACATAGAATATAATAAATCTACCACCGATACCATAATTTATCATTAAAATTCATCAAAACTCTATTCATCATGTAACCAAAAATCCGTAATAAGACAACCACTGACGGGGTTAAACTATTTGTTTTTCATATATTTTTTTTTTAAGTTTTCAAACTAAAATGGATGCACAGGACTTTGTTTGACTTTCTTTATGGTAAAACTATCTATTTGTATTATGTAATTTCCAGCTTTTTTATATGACCATTATGCATGAAATCATAACATTAACATATTTATTAAAGACATAACTGTAACAATACCCTATTGTGGTATTCAAATATGACAGGAAGGTAATTATGGCACCCTCAACGGAGTTGGGGTGACATATTGTTATTCTACGTTTCTTTTTTTCTTATTTTTCTTCCACTTTATTGTCTAGCTTATATCTCGGAATTGTATGAACCAATGTTAATAGAACTTAACCATAATGTTAAGCAGCATGTGCAGATTTGCAATCGGGGTATGGCATTTCCAAGATGGCAGCCGTTTCCATGGAAACAGCTAAAATGTCCAAAAAATCAATATGCTCCAAAGTTAATGAAACTTCACACAAATATTGACTGGCATATGCAAATATCCCATTTGACTTTGGAATTTCCAAAATGGCTGTCGTTACCATGGAAACAGCAAACATTTAAAAAAAATCAAAATGCTCCAAACTCCATGAAACTTTACAATAGTGTTAATTGGCATGTGTAGATGCCCTCTTTGACTTTGGAATTTTCAAAATAGCTACCGTTACCTTTGAAATGGGGGAACGAGGGTGCCATCCGTTATTGCTAGCAATTACAAATCTAGTTATATTTGCTTTTCAACTGTTGATATGACTTCTGTTGTATTTTTATTTATTTTTTTGTTTTGTGTCACGTGCTTTTCAAATACAAAGTAAGGATTTCCCATATTAACAAAATATCAAGTTATCCGTTCTGTTTCTTTTTCATGAAAATGTCTTCCGTAAAAGCATATTTCTTAAGAACTGCGATATGTTTCAAGGTTCCTAAAATTAAGTTAGTCTTTGTACGGCTTTCATATCGAAATTAGAACAATTTCTTTTTACCTTCTTGTATATGAGACATACAGAAAATAGAAATGTGTGTAGGTCAACATGTTTTTGTCATCAAGTACAACAGATGCGACAAAGTATTGCGGCAGATGTCGTTGAAAAAGGGCAATATAGAACAAAAATTGTAAAAATACTGTTTAATACTTCTAATGTTCCTACAAGTATAAGATCCAACTTTTCGAAAAATTTTGCTTTGATTCTGGCCTTCCAACTGTTTTGATTCGGGCGTCACTGGTGAGTTGAATGTAGACGAATTACGTGTTTCGCATATTGAATTATAAATCTGGTATCTTTGATTAGTTTAAGCAGAAACCAAAAATGTCACAACGATCGCAATTCGTAAATTTTCTGTGTACTTTCTATTGATTAAATGATTTTTAAAATTTCTAATGCTTGATTGTCTGTATTGTTCCCAACTTCTATAATTATTCAATAAAATTATATATATTACTGTTAGACAATCGGTCTACTTTACGATTTGTTTCTAATAAAGTATATAAAAGTAAAACCAAGACCAAAACATAGAAGATCTCAACTGTTTTAGTCTATAAACGTTGAACAAATTATTCCTGTATTTGAATTTCATATGTTTTCGGGATTTGTTTCATTATTTTTTTTAATAGCATCTATCATGTCTATTGTGGCGGAAAATACGATAGGCAATACTTATCTGCATCTGAACAGAAAATACGATTGGCAATAACTATCTGCATCCGAACAGAAAATACGATAGGCAGTAATTATCTGAATCCGAACAGAAAATACGATAGGTAATAATTATCTGCATCCGAACAGAAAATACGATAATTATGTGCAGCTTGTTTAGTTCCTAATAATTTGAGCCCGATTTTGATTCATCAAGGTTTGAGTTTGTTCAATGTTAAATGTTTATATATATGCGGTTGATTTTCCTATGATAGTACTATACTTTATTTTTAGATACAGCTCAAACGAAACTATTTGGTAACTTACAGTTTTAGCCCCGATGATATATCAAAATTATTATGAGAATAAGTACCAGTGAAGGCTCTCGCCACAAACAAATTTTGCTTAAATAAATTTCTCTTAAAGGTGTCAAAATCGGAATGCATAGGCATAAAGATTCAAAAAGGTTTTAATTACCGATTCTGTGGACATTATGATTATTAAAAATGTACTGGTATATTAAAGCCCCCCTGTAATGTTGTAATGATTCAAACATACAAGTAACAAACATTGACATTATGAATTCTCCAGGATATTGTATTATTTTTTTAATAAAAGGGAGATACTTATAAATTTGGTGCGTCGTTTGCGCTTTTCTATATGACTTTTTACTAATGGTAAGAAGTACGAAACAATCTTCTAATTTGACCATAGTTCGCGGAATGAAATCACCAATCAAAGTGTCACCCCTGTCTTTTCCTGTTTACAAGCTTTAGTAATCATGTCACCTCAAGTTTCCAAAATATTTCATAGAAACACCAAATAAAAAAAATGGTGATTTGAATCACCCAAGGTATATGTTTATGACTCAAAAAAGATTTTCTGCAATGAGATGCAGGGTTATTTTGGCAAATTCAAGGGAACATTTTTTACCCTTTTTCGTATGAAACCGGATGTAACTTATCATGTTTTGGTGGTATAACACCTGAACAGTTTAGTCAAAATAAGGCCTTTAATAATAATTTTCAAAAATCAATAACCATAGTAAGAATTAAAAACAAAACTCGGACGATGAAATGTGAAACAAGTCAAAAGAGAAAAATAGAACGCTCTGATATAAACAAAACACATTATACGAACACAATTGTTGCAGACCACAATCAACGACAACCACTGGATTACAAACGGCTGTCGTCAAACAGGCGCATCAAGGTTGTGGTTGGGTTAAACATGTGGACAAGCGCTCAATCCTCCCTCAACCTTTCAAAGTTGCGGTAAAGTGTAACATAAGAACATAGTGTAAAAATCTGTTGACAAGGGCTTGCATCATCCGATCGGTGCTAAGAACCAAAATAGAATAAAAACCAAAAAGGAAAAAGACACAAAGAACCACTCTTTATAGTGCTCACAGTTACTTAAATCTCCTTCACGTATGTTTGCTGACCTTGTTTTGATTTTTGTCAGATATTTGAAATATTTATATGTAGTGTCATTAAACATTTTGACCGCTACCCCCTACTTTTCTTTATATATCTTTCTAGGGATTCTATGCGACTGTCATACCAGTTAGAGGTTTAGCTAGCTATAAAACCAGGTTTAATCCAGCAATTTCTACATAAGGAAATGCCTGTACCAAGTCAGGAATATGATTTCGAGTATCTTAGCTGTATTTAGCAATACCTTTCGGAATTTTTTATCCTCATTGCTCTTTAACTTTGTATATTTGTTTTCCCTTTAAACTATTTTGATTCGAGCGTCACTGGTGAGTCTTTTGTAGATGAAACGCGCACCTGGCATACACAATTATAAACCTGGTATCTTTGACGAGTTTTTTCTTTCTTTAAGAAGCCTGCCTTCAAATAACTTTAAATTGTGTTATCAAATTTGTATATTAAACTCCATATCTGCGAAAAAGGGTGAGACAATTATAAGCAGCCAATGATATCTTTATCATTATAAGATATTTCAGTGATAGAAATATTAGGATTCTTGACACACTTCTTATTTTTTATAACTGAATGTAAATAAATAAAATGTTTTGTTTCTTTCAAGTCATTATTTAGATCTCGAATACATAACACGTTCATGTGGAAAACAATACAAGCAATGCAACAGAATATTACATAGCATTCGTTCGTTGTAACATTAATTTAACGATATCAAAGGAATGTTGAAGCATAAACAAGTTGAGCTTAGTTATTCTCAAGTAGTCTACGACGGAAATTCATAAACACGTTCAATATTTTCAACATTATTATTTGGTGCTATTAACGAAAAGTCTGCTTCTTCGTCCATTGTAAATGTTACTGTTGGACCTCTTCGATTCAAACTTGACCCATTGAATTCCTGTAATGGCAAGGTACAGTGAACTCCACGAACATGTTTTTTGTTTTTGGCTGAGCAGTGAAGTGTTTTTAGAAGCACAGTCTTCAGTGGTCTGTTTTTAAACACATAAATAAAAGGATGATAAATTACTGACGATTTTGCGATCAAAGCTGGAATAGTTGCTACAAAAGGAGACATTCCTTTTGTAATACCGAGCATCGATACAACACAATGAATGGCATATGGCGACCATGCTAAACTGAAAGCACCTGAAATTTAAAAAAAAAATCCATGTAATATCTCTGGATACTATGCATTTATTTTGTTTTTAATGTATCGTTTGTATTTTTTTTTTTTTTTTTTTGAATAACTAGAACCACAAACCAGAATATATGTGTGCTCTAAAATATTTTAGTGACTATATAAAAACAGGCCATTAAAATAAAGCCGCTGACGAAGTTCTTTTTTTTTTTCACGTTCAGATATATTGATGATTGAAGTGTCATGTCTACTAAAAAAGGAGTCCAACGAAGATACTAAAGTGTGATGACAGATACAGAAAGTATTTTGATGATATTAATATATGAAAATGTTTTTGGAAGCAAAGTAAGAGGTTGTCACAACGCGAGATTAGTCAAATCAAGGCAGGTTTGTTCTTTCGTATTAGCTTGGTTTGTCAAATAAGGTTTGTACATACACTGTTGATCATAATGTATATGAGAACTAAAAGGAAATGTGTCAATATTACCTATCATGAACAAGATTGTCTTTGTAACTCTCATTTCTCTCTTTAATATTGTCTTTCGCTGACAGCTGTATGTGTTAAAGTTCGTTGATTTCCGTTTTTCTTTCATCTGCAAAAATAAAAGAAATAGATACATGTATTTTCCGGCTTTTAATAACAACATTAATTGCTGATTGTAAATTACACTATTTTGTTTTTTATTTTTCTTCAAATGCTTATGAAAATGCATCTGAACCTAATCTGGGTAAGATAGGTATCACTTGTATATCATAGTTTATGTATCACATGATATCATTTTTAATTCTATCGGTTTTATGACTGTATAATTAGTAGCTTCGGTAATTATCATATGGATCAGAAACCTCTAACCTTTCAAAGACGACGTCACAATTATATCATGGTTTGAAAAAGTTTGTAATTTTTTACATATTCATCAATTGTTTTATCTATATGTTTATTAATGTTTTTAATGATCACCGATCCGTCCTCGTACACGCTTTATTATAAACCTCTTTTTTAAACTCAATGCACAATTATCCCCTTGTAACGAAATAAATTGGGTATGATGTTTAATCAAGAACACTATATATGAATGGCAATTCAAAACTCACAAATTCTCCAAATAAGATGTCACGGTTATATTTAAACCGTTAGATGATTTGAGAAGGTAAGGTAAATCAGAAGGAAAACTAGAATGTTACTATTTGGAATACAAGAATAGTATGGTTAATATGTTTACTGTTGTGTTCTCAAGCGATGTGTGTTCAATAACGATAGATCAGTTCGCAGCACGTGACGAACATAATTTAAAATTGGACATTAAAACAAAACTGGGGAATTGCAAATAATTACTGGTTTGTCTTATTGATTATTCATTTATAATTTTTATCAAAAAATAAGACTTTTGTTAAATGATCCTGCTAGTGTGTTTTCTGTACTGTTTTATTCATCTCTACTCTGTTATTCTGTTTTATTCATTTTCTACAGTTTTATTCATTTTCTACTGTTTTATTCAGTTTTATTAATTTTCTACTGTTTTATTTGTTTTCTGCTGTTTTATTCATTTTCTACAGTTTTATTCATTTTCTACTGTTTTATTCATTTTCTGCTGTTGTATTCGTATTTTGCTGTTTAAATCATTTTCTACTGTTTTATTCATTTTTCTGCTGTTTGATTCATGTTCCACTGTTCTATTCGTTTTCTATAGTTTTATTCACTTTCTGTTGGTTGTTTTATTAATTTCTACTGTTTTGTTCATCTTCTACTGTTTTATTTATTTTTTGCTGTTATAATCAATGTCCACTGTTTTATTCGTTTTCTACGGTTTTGATCGTTTTCTGTTTTATTCATTTTCTACTGTTTTATTCATTTTCTACTGTTTTATTCATTTTCTACTTTTTTAATTGATATTGTGTGGTTTAAATAGGAACAGATTTAGGCTGTTATTGTATTGGTAGCATTATGTCACCGTAATTAGTTTTCACACCCAGACAAAATCCTTGAAACAGATCATGTGAAATTACTCATTAGTCTAAACTCTTATTGATTGATTGTTGTTTACTTTACGTCCGTGCAAATATTTATGCAAGTTCAGGACGACAACAAATTAACAATTCAAACAATCGGTGGGTCGGACAGTAGAAAGTTCACCTGGATAAAGGTGGGCAATTGTGAATGCCACTGGAAAATGAGGGTAAATTAGATAGGGACCGAAATTTAGCCTGCAACAGACCACCTACGGGCCCATTGAATAGTTGTTGCAAGGGTTCGTAACGTGAAGAGAGCGAAACTCTGTCTTTACACGAGGGATCGGATGTAACGTACCCATTCTGACCGGAAGTCACAGCGACATGCGACTCTCCTCACCTTTAATTTTTCCCAATTTAAATTCTTCCAGTTATACGTCTATACCTGAATACACATTAATTTTATTGGGGAAAAAATCAAATTTATGCAATAAGTCCTGTGACTTGAGTACAGTCTATTGTGTTTAGTACTGTGCTGGTCATAATTTAATATAAAAGAACGAATGTTTAATACAATTTTCTAACCTAGGATTAAAAAAAGGATATACTTTTTTGGTCGAATTTACCTCATTTTTAACGCACATAAGAATTATTTAACAACAATTATCATATATTTGTGAAAAGTTGGCAAGTTAAAACATTAACTTGTTAAACTATACAGTGTGTTTACAATACACTGTAAATTCAATAATTTAATGCTTTTAATTACACAAAAAAGTTTTTAAAAAATTGTGATAGTAATATTATAACACACCATTTACAATCATGAAACACAATGATAAAAGTTAACAAAATCTGCAATAATAAAGGATCGCTGCTAAAAAATAAAGTAATAATAATTTTTAAAAATGCAGTATGACTTACCGTGACGATGATTTTCGAGTATACGGTTATCATAACGCATAACGGACAGATCAATCCTACTATCAGCATAAAAATAATGAACGATGATGAATTAGCGTCTTGACCGTCCATTTTCAACGAACATGTTATATTGAATCCTTCAAGCTGATACCTGTTCCACCCAAGGAAGGGCATAGAAGAGATCACAAACCCATACACATGGCATACAAGCAATATGTACAGGCAAACTCTTTTTGTCACCACGTTTCTTGATTCCTTTTTGATGACAATATATTTCTCTATAGCCATACTTGTCAAAGTAGCGATTATTGCAAGACCTAGGAAGAATACTATAAAAGAATGCATTTGGCAAACAGATTCTCCAAAAATCCATTCTCCTCTAACACTCGTTGCTGCAGTAAATATTGTGCCAAAACTTGATATCAGAAATCCATTAATGCACATCGATACTACAAATGTATTGTTCACATTTTGGAGATGTTTATTGACTAAAACTACATACACTATAGCACCATTCACGGAGCACCCAATGAACGTCACAAAAAACATGACAAAAGCTATGCAATAAAATATGGCATTCATAATGCATCAGTGTTTGGAAATCTTTACTAAGAACATGTTTCGCCCAGTACCAAGATTTATTTTCATAAAGTTGTCCAATATTTATTATTCAACATCTCTTCAAGGCAATGAAGCTAAAAAAGAAACACAAGAACATCATTCGTGTTAATGTCACATAGAACAAAGCATGATTATTTTGTCACTTCTTAATAAGTTTAAAAAATCCATAACTCCTAAATGATGAGCATCTAAACGAAGCAAAGTCATATCGAGAGTGGAAACCATACTTATTAGACTCTCTTATATAAATATCATGCATTATCTATATATTGATTATGTGAGTGAGAAGGTATGATCTTTCAAGCTTTTACATCAATGCTGAATCTTCTTAACATACGTTATTAAGTATTCTGATGCCCATTTACTGCTTTCTTATGAATAATTATTTTTAAACAGGGCGTGTTTTATAATACTGCGATATTTGACTCTAACACTGAATATTTCCTTGATTAATATTTGAAATAGTTTTATAGGCCAATGAAGTATAATCAGCTTAATCGAATACTCTCTTGTAACTACGTTAGCATGGTTTTGACATTTGGACAAATATCACGTATTATTAATAAAATTCATATTCATTTTAATCATGCATAAATTTAAGTCGATATATATAATTTTGCTTACAATCGATCCCTTCTTTTGATCTTTATGCTCTCGCCAATTTAATACATTTTTGTACTTCCTTCTATTTTAGAATACCTCACGACATTGACGTGACAGTAACAAATAAAATGGTTCTATTTGTAGCCATAGTCTCCTGATATATTGCCTACCGTCCTTTTATGTCCGACTACCGCCTGTTTACTTTAAATTGTGAATATAACTCCTGAAAAGGGTTTTTTGACCGGTACTTTTTTTAAAATGAAGTTGGATGGTTTTGCAATAGTTTATTTGAACAATATTTTATGAATTACGGCTCTCAAGATTTAATTTAGAGAGTGTCAAAATATGAAGATATTAGGGCGAATTGTGTCTTTTCTAAATTAAAATATTTAATAATGACTGTAATTCAAGACAATGCAGATATTCAAAATTTTCAACAATATATAAAATGTATATGATTCGTTCATTGTTGAAGACTCTTCATCAACTGTCAAGATGAAGAACAGGAATAAAAGCCCTGTTCATTAATAATTTTCTATGTTTTCTATGTATTGTGTGCGATTTTGTCCCATGTACATTGACTCCATATCCTTTCATTTTCTCTAAATGTTAAGTAAGGAGTTTCAAAAACATATGGAAAACCTTTATCTTAAAAAAAAGTTATAGACGACAGGATCATGTTCACAAAATTGTATGACGTATAGCGATACTGATAGGTTTCCATTCGAAATCCATTTAGAATTACCACTGTTCAATTTAAGTCGTGATTTTTATTAAATGTTGACAAGTTGATTTATGCATAATACTTCTATTACATAATATCCCCAACTTTGTATTTTACTTGTCATTATTTAACCCTCATTGTACTGATCTTGCAATATTTTTATTTTATTCTGCAGCTAGAACACTTCCTGTTGTCGTAATCTACCAAATAAAGTAAGAAAGTGATAGTTCATGCAATGTTGATTTTATGTCACGTCACTTTTTTCACAATTTGGGGCTCGTTTAGGGATGAAAATGCGTTTTATTTTTGTATAAAGATTTTCATAACTATATTTATAGCCATTTTTAGGTGCAGTATTAATCAATAATAGTTCATTGTCAGAAACCTTTATATTTTTGTATTCAGCACGAAACAGTTGAAGGCCTCGGTAAACCTCGGCTTTCCTCAGTTTCTATGCCTCATATAAAAACATTGTAATTTTTCTCACATTAATCTAATATTGTATATATATTTAGAATATAGCAAGGTGCTCTCGACCAATGAAATTATAGGATTTGATGCATCTTAATTGTGAAGAATGAATGTAAATCATGTTCTTAGTAAGGGAATACCCTACTATTTTGGTCTATTTACAGTTCAAAACAAAGAGTTTCTATAAATGAGTTACAACTGCCCCGAAGCACATTTATCAGATTGAAAGGATTTATCACACACTGATTGAAACTGACTAAAAGTTGAATTGTGAAACAAACAAGAAACTCAAAATAAGTTTACTGGTGCAGTAAAATTGGTACCGTGAATGTTATTATGAAAATATTAATAACTTCAAATTACTAAAAAAAACAAACAATATCAAAGCAATGCAAAAAGGAAAAAACAAAGCTTTAAGTTAAATATAAAATGACCTAAATCTTTAGCTTTTCATTACTTTGATTACTTGATCAGCGGTTGGGAAGAATAATTATTTCCAATATTCCTATAAAATAAAAACAGAACAGGAATTTAACTTAAGTTTTGAACATATTAAAAACTTTTAAAGGCATTTAATTGAACATTTTCCTGACATTTTGAAATAGTATTTGATGTAAAAAGCCAGACCAAAATATTGGCTGTGAAATAAAATTTAGTTGTAACTCAAATGTATTAATTGATTTTAACTGTAAATAAAAAAGGATGATTCCTCAATGAAATATTACATGGTTTACATTCATACTCACAATCAGGAAACATATACAATTCCTACCTTTTCTTTGTACTGCTGTGTCAGGTAATATCTATAATGCATATTTTTTTTTAAATATTTCCCAAATAATAAGAAAGTCAATACATCACTAAAACCAATCCATAAATGACATGCCGAAAAAGTCATGCATCAATTATAAACATTGCACTGACAATGAAACTAATTCTTGAATACAACCAATCAAGAGATCATTTGAGCCTTGAGCACTTTACAATATTCTAAGTTTGTAAGAGAATGATAATCTCTTACTTCATGATAGGTACTCGCTAACGCTCGTCCTTAATCATGAAGAAAGGGATTATCATACTCTAACATAAACTTAGAATATAGCTAAGTGCTCTCGACCAAAGAAATTGTAGGATTTGATGTCTCTTAATTGTGAAGAATGAATGTAAATCATGTTCTCAATAAGGGATTATCCTATTATTTGGGTCTATTTACAGTTCAAAACAAAGAGTTTCTATAAATGAGTTACAACTGCCCCGAAGCACATTTACCAGATTGAAAGGATTTATCACACAGTGATTGAAACTGACTAAAAGTTGAATTGTGAAACAAACAAAAACTCAAAATAAGTTGAAGTTTACTGTGCAGTTAAATTGGTACCGTGAATGTTAATATGAAAATATTAATAACTTCAAATTACTAAATAATTAAACAATATCAAAGCATTTGCAAAAAAGAAAATAAGCTTTAAAATAAAAAAAAAACTTTAATCTTTAGCTTTCCAAAATTTTGATCACTGGATCAGCGGTTGGGAAGAATAGTTATTTTCAATGTTCCGCTAAGATAAAAAGAGAACAGGAATTTAATTTAATTTAAGTCTTGAACATATTAAAAACTTTTAAAGGCATTTTATTTGAACATTTCCCTGACATAATGAAATAATATTTGATGTAAAAAGCCGTTCCAAAATATTAGCTGTGGCTGTTAAATAAAATTTAGTTGTAACTCAAATGTATCAATTGATTTAAACTGTTAATTAAAAAAAAAGATAATTCCTCACTAAAATATTACATAATTTACATTCATACTCACATTCAGGAAACATATACAATTCCTACATTTTCTTTGTTCTGTTGTAGTATCTATAACGCATTTATTTTTTAAATATTTCCCAAATGATAAGAAAGTCCTTACATCACTAAAACTAATCCATAAATGAAATGCCTAAAAAGGAAGTCATGCATTAATTATAAACATTGCACTGACAATGAAACTAATTCTTATATACAACCAATTAAGATATCATTTGAGCCTTGAGCACTTTACAAAATTTCTAAGTTTGAAAGAGAATGATAATCCCTTACTTCATGATAAGTACTTGCTAACGCTCGTACTTAATCATGAAGAAAGGGATTATGATTCTCTTACATATACATGGTTCAGTGAATTTTAAATCTCAATGTAGGCTAGTTGATTTTTACTCACTACTGGTTATTGTACAAACTACTTTTCTGAATAGTTTTTTTTTATCAGGTTCTGGCTAGTTTGACCTTGTTTTTCGATTACATATATTGTGATGTTTGTATATATTGTCAATGCGAAATGAGTCAGACTAGAAACAACATTATGAGCCGTAGCAAGCAGTAGAAGGTTTCTATGATTTCAAGGTTTTTCAAATTTAAAATTCCAAAAAATCTACGGTTAAAAGATTTTGTTTGAAGTATTTTATTTAGTTTCACTGATGCTACTAATTGTATTTCATTTTTTATATTTTCTTATTTAGCTTTCATTAAATTTCTATGTTGTAAATCATTTTATTGAGTCGTATAACAAACTTACTTTAGTTAATAATTTTGATTTGCATTGATTAACAATTGTTTACATTTAAAGTTGTCATTTAACTGTATTTCGCATTATCATCATATAATTGCAATTGTGTAGTTAAACATAATATACATTATTTGCTACAAAATTATATTTTCATATCCATTTATTTGTAAAGTTCTATTTTTTGTCCATATCTTTATATTTCAGATCTGTCATTGCCGTCTATGTTATATTTAATAAACGTTCCGGATTCGTTTCACTCAAAGCCTGTTTCAGCCTTATTCCACCTGGTGACATAAAAAACACAAAGCTGTCTAGTATTATGTATGAGTTATTGTATGCGCTACATAAATCTGAAATATGTAATCCAAAATGGATTGAATGTATGAATCAGTTTTAGATAGTATGGGTTTGAGTTTTAAATGGAATGATTAACATGTTTTGAAAAATACAGATATTATTATTTTTACATACAAATCA